GGGGGCTAAGTCGGTATATCCAGGATCAGAGAACCTCCAGGGAAGGGTATTTTTTCTGTAGCAGGGTGCTTTGAGGTGAGTGAAGGAAACACGCGCCGCGTTTATTTCCCAATTGAGTAGTTATTCTTCCATGGCGCCATTCCTGCCAATTCAAACCTTAGCAGGACCGTTTACAAGAGGTGAGCGGCAGCACCTGTCCCTCGCCCTCCACCTCACAAAGAAATTCGCTGCGGGGAAGACAGGACAAGAACAAAGGCCGGTACATTGCCGAGGACCCCAGTTCACTGAGCAAGCCAACCTGACGATGGATGCATGGGAAGCGGGAGGCAGCCAGGCCAAGCGAAACGGAGCCGTCTGGGGTGTGTGACATACCGTCCCTTCGCTTCTGCTCCAGTCAACCCGCTGTCGAGGTGCCGGCGGGTCTACCAACATTGGCTACCCGCGGGCTCTTATTATACTGCTGTTTCTCCGTGCTGCTGTATGGTGAGATGTCTCCGGCGTGCCGATCTACCAACCCTTCACGACGTCAAAAGTTCGCATCACGCCACAGCGCGAGAGGATCATATGCAAGCCAAAAGTACAGAAGGAGGTTAATTATGAATGCTTCAAAACGGCACTTCGGTATTAGTTGCGGTGTCGGGTCTCTCGACTCCAAAAAGTCAAGTCGCTCCGCGTTCACGCACTTTCTCTTCCAAGTCCTCGTCTCCTACGGCCACGCGGGCTGAGGGCCATCAGACTCACAGCTTTGACTCCAGCGGCGGCGCCTCCTCGCCTTGGGAGGGCTTCCCGTCGCACCGCGCAAGGATCCAGTCGACCACGTCCTTGGCGAACTCGTCCTTGCAGTGATCCGCGTGCAACTGGTGGTAGGCGCCCTCGTACGACTTGCAGGTCTTGTCCTCGACGCTGCGCTGCCGCTCCATGAACTGCATGGCCGCGTCGTAGCTGCAGGTCTGGTCGGCGGTGCCGTGTGCCAGCAGCACGCTGCGCACCTGCTTGCCCAGCTTGACCTGGCCCGACGACAGCAGCGCCGTCCGGTCCAGCAGCGAGGCGAGCCCCTCGAGCGTGCCCGTGTTGTGGCACAGCGGGTCGTTGCGCACCGACTCGACGATGGCCGGGTCCCGGCTGAGCTGCTCGGGCGGCACGACGTGCTTCATCTGCTGCTTGGGCAGCAGGCGGCCGACGAGGCGCCCGGCGAAGATCTTGATGCTGCTGGGCTCCTCGCCCTTGGTGAAGCCGATGAAGGGGCACTCGAGGATCCAGCCGCGCACCTGGCCGACCAGCTCGGCGTACTGCGCGTCGCCCGCCATGGTCAGCACCTCGCCGCCGCCCATGGAGTGGCCCATGACGAACAGCGGCGGCGGCTGCGCGCCCTCGCCCCCGGACCCGACGGCCAGCTTTTCGCGCACAAAGGCGGCAACGTCGCTGACGACCAGAGGCGTCGGCCCCGTCAGGCCGCGCTCCGACGGCTTGGTGACGGTACGGCCCCAGCCGCGCTGGTCCCACGAGAAGACCTGGATGCCGTGCGCCGCCAGCAGGGGGAAGAAGTCGTTGTAGCGGTTGATGTGCTCGCTGAAGCCATGCACGAAGACGAGCTTGGCCTTGATCGGGCCCTCGGGCTGAGGTGATGCAGCTGCGTGTCAGATGGCAGCTCGCGGACACACGGGGACACATGTCGAGGACAGCTCACCGTCCAGGTCTTGGCGTAGAAGCTGGCGTCGCCATGCTTGAACGACCCCTCGGTAGCTGTCGCCATGCTTGCTGTGGGCTCTCTGCGGGCTCTCGCCGACGATGATGATACTCGTCTGCTTGGCAGCGCGCGTCGCTGTCGCGGCAGTGAGTGTATGTAAAGCTGCGGTACCGCAGGTGACGCAAAGAGACAGGGCGCAGGTCCGTCACCACGAGGCTGATAAAGGCCCAACTAGTACGAAGTGGTTTCAGACAGCGCCACAGGCAGCTGCAATTGCCGACGACGATGAGGCTGCGAGCGACAGCGCGAGCAGGGCAGAGAAGACGGGGATTTGTTTTTTCAACGTGCTTTGTTTTTTGCGCATGGACGACCGGTCTCACGTCACCGTGTGTACTCGTAGTCTCGTACCTACTAATTCCCTACCTCACCAAGAGCGGGTTCTCCGGACCCGCGTCGGGTGCGTCTCACGGGGCGCGGAGAGGGGCCTTGGGGATGCGTCGCGTCACAGACATGTGATTGATCCTCCAGAGTTGGTCGACGCCGCACCGCACCGTCACCACCCGCCCTGCATGTGCCACAAGCTTACTTACAAGGTTGCGAACTGTCTTCGGAGTTTATGATTTTCTCCCGCCTCAGTCTATTCCGCCCCTTTTGCTCTAATCATACCACAGGCCCGCCCGCACAACATCCCCGTGGCTGGCTGCCTCGTGAACTCGGTCCGCTGCCCTGCGCATCGGGGCGTCAGTCCAGCCCTCATGCATCCATGCCGCGCCCCGCCCGCCACCGTCTATCAAATTCCGAGTGGAGTTGTCTGCACAATACTCAACTATGAGGTTGACAACCCGACCCATACTGTACCAAAGTATGACACTAAATATACAAATAAACATGGCATCGTTCCTGTACCGACGGCGCCGTCAGTCGTCGTGCTTGGGGCCCCGTCGTTCTCTCACGGACGACCTTGGTTGGCCGGCGCCTGCGACGCTTCTTTCTCGACGTCTTCGTGGTGCTCCTCCTGCGGCTCCGCGTCCTCTTCTTGTGCGAGGTCTTGCTCCAGCTCCTCGGCCTCGGTAATGTGAGCGCCCTTCTCCGAGCTCCTCTTTTCCGGGACCTCGCCGCCGCTCATCTGCCACTCCATGAGCCTGCTGAAGGCGCTCTCGGGGTCGGCCGCGAGCTGCGTGTAGCTGCCAATCTCGGCCACCTTGCCCTCGTTATTGAGGACAATGATCTGGTCCGAGCGCTTAATCGTCGACAGCCGGTGCGCAATCGAGATCGTGGTGTTGTGGCCTCGCAGCAGGCCCGCCAGCGCCTCGTTGACCAACGTCTCTGATTCGGCATCCAGGGCCGACGTGGCCTCGTCGAGTATCAGAATGTCCGGGTCCTTGAGCAGCGCCCGCGCGATGGCGATGCGTTGCTTCTGCCCGCCCGAAAGCTGCGACCCCCTTGCGCCAACCTGCGTCTCCAGGCCGTCAGGGAGATCGCTGATGAAGTTGCAGTTCGCTCTCCGCGCAGCCGAGATTATTTCCATGCGCGACGCGGCCGGCTTGCCATAGGCGATGTTCTCGGCAATGGTCCCCGAGAACAGCACCGGCTCCTGGGAGACCATGCCGATGCGTCTTCTCAGCGACTTGACATTCATCTCAGAGATGTCGACGCCGTTGATCGTAATGGAACCCGAAGTTGGGTTGTAGAACCGGAGCAGCAGCGACGCCACTGTTGACTTGCCTCCGCCAGATGGCCCCACGACGCACACGTTGCTTCCTGACGGGATTTCAAAGCTGAGCCCGTTGAAGATCTTGACGGCCGGCCGGGTCGGGTAGGCGAAGCTGACGTCGTCGAACCGAATGGGCCCTTGAGCAGACTTGACTGGCTTGCCCACGGTCTGGTGGATTCCGGGTCGGCGGTCCTGCAGCTCAAACAGGCGACTAGCCGCACCCACACCCTTCATGAGTTCCGAGTAGAACCCAGAGAGACCAAAGAGACTAGAGCCGGCAAAGGCTGTGTACATCATGAACGACGTCAGGTCTCCGAGGGACATGGCTCCGGATCGCACGAAACTGCCTCCAACGACGAGCATGGCCAGGATGGTCATGTTCCCCGCCCAGCCCGTTGAAGCAAAGAAGGTGGCGGCAATGAGCGACTCTTTCTTGCCCAAGGCAAAGATGCGCCGGATCTGCTTGTTGTACCGGCCGACTTCTTGAACCTCTCCGACGAAAGCCTGGCTGGTCTTGATGTTGCCCAAGCGCTCCTCAGCAATCTTGGTCAACGTACCGAGGTTCTTCTGGATCGCTCTGCTGACGTTGCGGATGGCCCGTCCGTAGAAGACGGCACCGATTGCGATCGGAGGAAACATGAGGAGCAGAAGCCCAGTGAGCTTTGGGCTGGTCCAGACCATAATCGCGAATCCGGCGCCGCCGCTAAAGAGAGCTCGTAAACCGTCACTCAAGTTCTGGGTGACAGACTTGCCGACGATCACCGTGTCGGAGCTGAGTCGTGAGATGAGATCGCCGACGCGGTTCGCATCGAAAAACTCGGCGTCCTGGACATACGTGCGCCTGTAGAGCTGGGAGCGGAGCCGTGCGACAACCCTCTCGCCAACAATGCGCAGGAGGATGACTCGGCCAAAGTTGGCCATGGCGCCAAGGGTCAAGACTGCGGCCAAACCCATGAAGAACTGGTTCATCGTGAAGCCGAAAAGGCGGATATCTTCCGCTTCGCCTTTGGTGGCAAGATCGAGGATTCGGCCGACCGAGAACGGAATGGACATGGTGACACTGGAGGAGATGACGAGGAAGACGAATGCAATGCCGAGCCAGCGGATCTCGGGCCTCGCAACCTTGATGAGCCTCCATATCTCCGCGAACCCGGCTTTGCTCTGCTGCTTGCCCTCCTTGGACAGCTTGGCGGCAAGGTTGACCTGGGCGGCTTGGGTTGCCCGGTCACTCTTCTTGAATTCGTGCTCGGCAGTCTCATCGGGGGCTTCTTGCTTCGGTGACTGCTGTACCGGCTCCTTCGACTTCTCATCCGCCTTCGACCGAGCTTGTTGCGCTGCAAATCCTGTTTGGGAAAACCATCGCGCCGTCGTCGATGTTGGTCCGGCCGGGACGGCGCTGGACGTAAACGGCGGCGCTGTGTGTCGGAAGATCGAAAGGGAAAAGGCCGGCAGAGGCTGTCCACGGCCGGACGATGCGTGCCACAAGCTCCGAGAGTTCTGTAACGGTGATGGTTCGGTCCGGCCAGCCTGTGGACGGCAGCGAGCGACAAAAGGAGTTGCTACCGGCCGAGCGAAGGCTGGAGAGAGGCCCGAGAGTCGGGGCTGCAGCGCTCGGCGCGCCACGCCCGACACCATTTTGACTGATGATGCGCTAAGGGGCGAATGTCGAACGTCGCATCGTCGAGAGTCCCACGGATGGCGATTCGGGGGTGGTCGTGCGCGTGCGAGGTATGGAGGGTTCAAATTTGCGCAGCGTGGGATGAAGTCATCATCGCGGCATTTCCTCACGCACAAGCAAGAGATGGATGGGCGTGGGTGAAGGCTGCCGCCTGTTAGTGCTTTGCTGACTGCCCGCGAGCTGGTTGCAGCGGCCCAGAGAAAAATTGGGGGTGGGCCTCCAGGCGCCTCCACTCCCCGCGGTCGGCCTCGGGTCGGAACTACGGAGCGGCCCCCGATGCGAACACCACACCTCACCCGCATGTCCACTTCCGGCCGCCGAGCCGCCTGGGCTGCAACAACTGCTGCAGCCTGTCGCCCAGAAAGGGCGTTAACTCGTGTAGGCGCCACGCGCTTCAAACAAGTGCAAAAAAAGCGGCTTGCCATCCGTACCTTGGAGCATGCCGCGTGTTCCCCCACGCTGGCCTTGGGCCAGTCTACGTCGGCCCATGGATGTTGTCGCACCAAAGCCCCCGACACGCTGCCGCCAGGTCTTGCATGTGACGGTTTGCTCGTCCGGGCTGGTACGGATACAGCCAACAGCAACCGCTCGTAGACAGCGTGCAATCGTTATCAAATTTGCAGAAACAAGAAAATCATTACGATACAGCTTGTGAATTGGTACATCTGTGTCCGAACTGAGAGCTGAGCACATCCTGGCGCGTCGAGCAGCTCGAGGTATCATGGTTGATGAGACCCTCCTCCCTCCTCCTCCCGTCGCAAGTCCATCGTGAGCCTCACTAGTCCTTTAGCATCGCAGCGACATCAGGATCGATCTCATCGTCGCCACCGAGGTCGGGGAACTCTCCGGAATCATCCACTCGTCGCCTCTTGTTGGATCCGTTAGTCGACACGGGAATCGAGTGATACGACGGGGTTGTGTCCACGGCTGCGCCCTCCGACCCAGCCACTGCCGCCGGCGCAGACGAGCCGTCTTCTCCAGCAGATGGCTCTGCGTTTTCCGCAGACTCTTCATCCACTGAGGGCGGTGTCAAGGCCTCCATCTCTGGTCGGTCCGGCTCTGGTGGCGGGCTTGTAAAGCCACCCTCCTTGGGGGAGCCGTTGCCCTCTGCCGGTCCCAGCGCGCGCATAATGGCCACTTCAACCTGCTGCTTCTTTTCCTCAATCTCTGCCTTGCGCTGCTTGAATTCTTGGGCCGTAGACTTGTCGCTCTCCAGAGCCGCTCTGTTGGTTTCCAACAGCTTCTCCAGGCCAGAGACGAGTCCCTCGCGGGCCTTGACACATTCAGCCACCGCACTCTCGGCATTCGCGAGTGTCTTGAGGAGACCGTTCAGTCGAGCCGCGTACACCGGGGCGGAGGGGACAGCCGTGTTGGGGTCTGTCTGCTTGTCATACTCTTGCTTTGCGGCAGCAGTCGTCCCTTTCAGCGGACCGCCAAGCTTGGCTACCTTCTGATGAGCAGACACGAGAGGTGCGAACTCGCTCGGGATAGACGAGCCTCCCCCAAAGGGCGAACCTGAAAATCCTGGCTTCGCGGCACCACGCGATTTGTCAAGGTCTATATTTCCTGTCAGCAGAACTTCATGGCCAAAGGCGCAATGACGCTTCCGTACCATCGAGCCTGGATTCGATTGCGGCCTGGATAGGTGCTTCGAAAATAGTCCGGTCCTTCCAGACGTCAATCACGCGCCTGAGTTTGGCCTGTATCTCGGCGGGAGCACCCTTGTAGGCGATAGAGGTGGCTTCGGCAACGACAGGCGAGAACGCAATGACAAAGTCCTCTTTGTGCCGTATTCTCGACTGCTGGACGACCTCTGGTAACGCGACAAGTTAGAGAGGCAAGAGTTCAAACCGAATTGGTGAGTCGCGGAGGATAGCCCGCGCGCTGGAGGGCCGGCGTACCGTTTGCGAGATACACAAGGCTCAGGCGCTTGGTGCTAGATGAGTCTTTGAGGCGCTGCATCCACAGCTGCACTGTGCGGTCCGCGTGTCTCCTGGATGCCAACAAAGCTTTAGTTAGCGACAGCAGCGTCCCGCAGCCTCGAGCTCTAAGCTTCTTACCTATGGAACATGATCCATTGAGCTGCAGTGGCAATGCTGTCGTGGCTCTCATTCAAAGAAGAGAGCCGCGCCAACACAGAATCGTCATTGTAAGCCATGTTGAAGCAGGTGCCGGCAACCTAAGGCAGCGAAAACGACCACGGCTTTGAGGCGCTCTTCAGCGTCGACGTTTTGGCCTTGCCAGTCCCCTGGGGGCATAGACTGAGCGGATAGGCTCGAAGAGGTAAGGACTGGAGAAAACGCGGCGCGGACGTGACACGATGGCTCGGATTTCGTGAGTCTCACAGAGCTTAGCTTCGGGGCGTGGCCTTGCTGCGCTCAATCGTCTTGACCAGCCGCGAGGAATCGCGCCCGGCGGAAGGCCTTTAGGTACTGGCCGATGCGAGCCTTTCTACGATATCACCCAGTTGACAAATGTGTCGGTGCGACGTGAATCTCGAAAAGGCAGCGAGCAGAGCTCTTCCGGTTGACGAGGCTAAGGCTGTGCTGTGCATATGCATGTCGTGCAGCTCACGATTCAGGCAGTGAAGTGGAACCAGCCGCGCATGATTTATCGCTATATGCCGTGTTTATGCACTTGGCGCCTCGATAAAAGCATTCCGCGATTGAGCGCGAAGAGCTCCCAGTCAACAACTGGGAAGCTCGATGATGCCCGCTCAGGGGAACCTCGCTGACCGCCCGGCAAAATTCGAGGACCCACCGTAGGAGGTCGCGCGGCGTGGATACGTCGTCGCAGGCAACTGGCGGGCAGCGCTGTGCAACAACGACAACGGAACGTCTCCAGCCATCATCAGCGGCCCGTCTCTCTTTGCATCCCCCACGCCCTTGCACGCGCACTCCCACGCTCACCCAAACGGCACACAGTCACGATGGCCGACCGCTTCCCCTCGCTCGAGGATTTCGATTCCGGAGGTAAGCCCGCCTGCCAGCCCACTTGGTGACAACTTGGCCTCGGGTGCTGAATGAACCACCCGGCAGCGCAAACCGACATCAAGGACCCTTCGGCCGAGCCATCCGCAGACGACTTCCTTGCCCGCGAAAAGGCCGTTCTGGGCGACGATGCGCAGCAATTCGTGACGAGCGACGATGTTGCAGCGCTCGGCGAGCCTAGCGATGACCTCCTCGCTCAGGGAGATGCCGCCCAATCCACATTCGAGTCTCAGTTTCCTGATCTTGCCAGCCCGTCTGCCGTATGTATTGAGACATGGCCAGTTCTCGTGACATTATTCTGACCCGAGGCGCGCGCAGGGCACCGTGGGCGCTCCCGGCGCTACGTCCATTACAGGACCATCCGTGAGCTACAACTCGGGCTACCAAGCACACGCGGAGGATGAGGAAGAGCCCGAGGTCATCAAGGAATGGAGGGAGCGACGGGATGCGCAGATCGCCAAGAGAGCCGAGCAGTTTGCCGCGCAACGAGAAGAGACGATCAAGGAAGCGCAGCAAAACATCGACGACTTCTACGAAAACTACAACTCTAAGAAAGAGAAGGGCATTGCGCAGACACGCAAGGACGCAGAGCAGTTCTTGGCCAACCAAGACGATACGGTGTCCGGAGGAACGAGCTGGGATCGCATTGCCAAGCTCGTTGATGTCAGCGGCAAAGGCACCCGAGGCGGTGCGGCCGGTTCTGGAAAGGAACGCTTCCGCGAGATGCTGACTAGTCTGCGCAAGGACGAGAAGGCTCCTGGTGCCACGGGCTATTAAGTGGTATGGTTGCCGAATGTTGCAAGCGCGAACGCACAGGTGTTCTTGTGGATAAGAAGCCTCTGCTCCAGTGTCCCCAAGCTAGACGACCAGCGGATGCCCGGAGGTTCTGCCATGTATTGTATTGAAGACAACAGGGACACAAACAACGTTTTAATGCCATGATTGACTTGCCATGAGCGTCGTGATTCGATGATGCTTGTAGCTGCTCATGGGTACGCCACATATGGTCTCACTGCAAGAGAAGTCGCAGCTGGCCGCAACTGACCTGTATGTGATCGAACAAATGGAATAACCGCGAGGGGTTTTATTTTGTCCACTCTATAGAACAGTATAATCGCACATGTGCCGCAGTTTGTGCGGCACAGAGTACCTCGTCATCAGTTCGCTGCAGCCCAGCTTAGTCCTTGCCGAACCAGGTGTTGTGGCCCGTAACCTTGCGCCCAGCGGCGTACATGGCGGCTACCGACAAGTCAGCATGTTTGCACTCAGTTCCAGAAGCTATTCACGAACCTCCGAATCCACCCCAAAGAACGACGAGGTATGGCGTCATGTACCAGCGGCTGCGGGAGCCCTGCAGTCGAGTCAGTACGCGGGCCGGAACTTCTCGGGAGGCACCAATGCGATCGTACAATCTTCCAAAGGCGGGTGTGCGCCCTGTAGGCCTGCTGGTAGTAGCGCTGGTGCTCAGGCACCTTGTTCTTGGCGTCGACGAGACTGCAGATAGTGTCAGCTTCGAGCTCGCATGATGTGCTGTTGCCTCCAACGGCTGCTCGGGATTGCAGTTGAGGCGGCGCGGCGGCGCGTCCGGTCTGGTGCGGCTCGTCTGGCGATGCTTCTTCAACTTACCCCATCTTGACAGTTGTGCGCGGAGGCGTGCGTGGAGCTTCAGATGTCGTATGTGCGTGAGGGATTGACGAGATGTGGTGACCGAGGATGTCGAACGGCTTCGGATGCAGAAATGAGGCCATTCTGATTGGAGTTGGCGGAAGATGACTCAGCAGGCCATCTGTGGAAACTTTGTGCTGCTCCACCCTTCGTGTGTGAGCGCCAGGATGCCTCCAGTCTTATTAGCTGCAGGACCGCGCGCCGGCACCCATAACGCTGCGTCAGTCCCTCGCAAAACGGACGGCAGAACAACCACGCACACGGCCCGGCGAAAAGGTCCCAACATCCGGGCTTGAACTTTGACAAGACGCAACTTGGTGTCACGTCAAACTCGACCGACCGATCCAATGCGGTGAGACGGAATAGCACGGTGGCCATCACTGGCATATTTGGGATGCGCAAGACCCTGCAGCCTCTACGACGGCAACATCACTCGGCTCTGTTTGCCCTAGAGACTACAATACGCACAACACACGGCCTCCGCATATCGTTTGACCGTGGCGCCGCTGCCCTAGCACATTCTCGCGCTGCGCCCATTGCTTCGACTGCCCGACCGATATGCCACCAGCCATCATACCAAGATGCTGGCTCGCGAAGCCGGGAGTCGCCGAGCCATCGGGGCACGTCGGCACAGCCGTCAGCATGGCAAGCAGACGGGAGGCTAGGGCAGGGTAGCTCACGGGGAAATGAAGGTCCCATAACGGACGCAGCAAACATCGCAAGCACGGGTGATGCCAAAACGAGGCTGCCAGACCCTGGCGAAGTACATCCGGCAGATGTCGAACCTCGGGAAGCCAAGCTCGCCTTGCTTCGCTTGGACCTCAGTCATAACGGCGTTTGGAGCGAGTTCGAATCAATACGGGACCAGGGGCTGCTGAACCTCATCGCCAAGTCCGACGCCGATGCTCTTCGCGACGAGGTCTTGTCGGCTGCATTGCTGGATGACAAGCGCATTGCCGCATTGGTCAACGTGGCTCAGCAGTTATATCTCGAAAAGGGCTTTCAATGGCCAGATCTGTACATGAAGCTCATTCATTCTTTCCTCGATCAAGGGCGATATGACGACGCTGTACGATGGCACTTGCAACTGGCTTCGATACTACCTCCTGAAACAGAAGTTTTCGGTGCTTTGCTCTCAAGCTTCGTCATTGACCCTACTCCGCAGATGCAGAGCACCCTGACCACGATCTACGTCTTCAGCACAGAACGGCAACTGTACGATTTCATTATACCCGCCCTGTTTGCTTCTGGCCAGTCGAAGCTTGCTCGCACGTGGCGGAAGAAGCTCATCTTGTTCAAGGATTTTCCCGTTTCGACATCGAAATCACGGCAGTTTCTCCGATTCCTTGCCAGATACTACCCCTCGATTGAACTGACGGTCGAAGAGGTCGCCGCAGCAGGACTCGACAGCTCCGGTCGTCATGCGGTAGCAGTCGAAGCCGCCGAATCAGCGGCAAATGCGGACCACGACCACCGGTCAGGCCATTATAGTGATGCCCTGGTGGCCAGGTGGTTTGCCAGCACCTGGACGTCTGTTGAATTCGCCATCAACCTGGTCCATAGACTCGGTCTGAAGGTCGTCGGGCCAAGGTCACTTCAGTCACTTGCGCTGCGGGAGGCGAATGCAAAGGACGTTGCAGATCGCATCGCTCAGACCGAGAGACTTGGGATAGAAATATCTCCACAGGCGTACTGCAGAGCGCTGGTGTGTTTTGCCCGACAAGGAGAGGATGACCTGCTCAGCGATTTACTGTCGTGTGATATCCACCCTGACGAGTTTGACGACCTGGAGACACGGCAGCTGCTGATGGCCGCTGCCGTCCGCGAGGGCAATTGGCGGCGAGAAAGGCTATTCCAGCGTATCGAGTGGGCCATCGAAACTGGGCCATCTTCTCGGCGTCTCAACTCGTTGCTGCGAAGCGAGTTCTGTAAGCGCCGGATGGGCCAGACACGACTAGTCCTAGATCGCATGGAGGCATTGAGGGTACGAATGGCTCAGACCAATGCCACGCAGCTCTTGGAGCGTACCTTCGTCGGTCTGAGTCTGCATCCTCCCGAGCGTGCTCGCCAAAGACAGTTCAACGATCCCGTCAACCCCACCTCGCCTCTCAACCGAGCCATCGATATCACGCGTCGCATAGCTTGTCATGACGTCGCTATCCCGATACAGTATTGGAGAGTCCTTCTATACAATCTGGGGCGAACTGGTCGGTTTGAGGAATTGGAGCAGCTCTGCTTGGAAATCACCCAACTCTACCTACCACCCTACGGCGGCTTGATTCCGGTACATGAGAAGGATCTTCCCGCAGCGGCCATGGGTGAGGGAGCTTTTGCGAGCAAAAGGCTGTCGGGGCCACACACACTCCGAAGTGGCTCAGAGACAGTTCGTGGCACAGCAACGGCAAGGAAAACGCCGCTCAACGACGCGAGTGGTCGCGACTCGGTGGAGAGCTTGTTCATCCGGCAGGTTGAGAACATGGAGCGGCTGGACAGGAATTTGTCGCCAACCTCCGCATGGACCAATGGTCCCACCAATGATGTTACGGATGATCACATCGAGATGAAACCCAAGGAGAGCTTCAGCGATTGGATCTGCCGCCGGAGGCAGGGTCAAAGCAGCAAAGCGGAATCCAGTTCAACAGATAACGACGGCAAAGAGGACATACCCGCGGACCTGCCATTCTCGCATCGGGAGCATCCTGTGCAACTGATCTTCGACGCACAGTTGCAGCGTGCCATTGTGCGCTGGGGCTTTGACCACACTTTGGCCGGACGGCCCAACGCTCCCTCTTTGCTCGACATCGAGTGCCCAGGAACAGTGGACTTCGATGTTGCCTGCGGCGTGCATCTACTCGCACTTTTGCGGGATCAGGGGGTTCTAATCGACATGCAAGTCCTGCGGGCGACGGTTATATCCCGCATTGCACTCGGTCAGGTCCCTGGGCGGCGCAAGGACCGGTCCAGAGACGTCAATGAAATGTCACTCGAAAACTTGAAGAGACTGGTGGATGAGGCGTGGGGCGCGGAGATTATGCCAAGCTTGCCAGACATAAAGAGAGAGCTTGAGCGGCAAAAGCCCAAGCTGTGGAGTCGATACCCCAAATTGTTCGGCAAGATGTTTGACCAGAGACAAAGGGACGGGGAGGGAGGAGCATGATAGCACTATCGATCATAGCTGTCGCAGGGCGTACATGACCAGTATATGAACAGACACTCGTACATAATATGTATATATAGCAGATACCCAAACCCCCATGACTCCAAACTCCCGCGGCTAAGTCACGTTTTGTGACACGACATATGTACACTCTATAGCTACAGCCCCGTGGGCCGTGACACGGTTGTCGCTAGTAGTCCCGACCTGGCTCAAGAGTCGTGCTTTTTCGGCTTGATCAGAAGAAGAATAAAAAGCCCCACAATGATGAGAATCAAGAGCAGTATTATCTTCCTCTTGGTCGTTTTGCGTTGATACCCCGACGCAACCTTTAGCTCCTTGTCGGCCCCCTTGACGTCCTCGTTCATTCGTTCAACGTTATAGTCAATCCTGTCCAGCATGGTGCCTTGGTCGATGATCATTGTTTGCAGGTCTCGAAAGAGGTCAGACAGCTCGATGATGCCTTGCGCAATATCCTCGATTTCGCGTTCCCGTTGGGCAATGGCGGCGTCGTTAGAATGAAGCATCTTCTGCTGCGTTGCTGCCTGCAGCGTTGACTGGGAGAAGGAGCGATCGGCATCCGACTCTAGTAGTGATGGATCTAGGTACGACCCGGGTTGCGGTGTCGATGACCTCTCGGCGGGGCTAAACGTGCCGAGCCCTCCCATATCTCGAAGTTCTAGAGGACCCACGATGTCAGCAACTGGCATAACAGTTCGGCGTGCAGCTAGCCAGGGATAGAACACACTCTTCAGATAAGCACTCTGCTTCTTGCGAAAGTTGGCGCTTGCTTCCTGTACCCTTGTTGCCAGGGAGATCTGGATGTTCTTGGCCATGGTCTCTTCGGCTCTTGTGATGGTGCCGGACTGTTTGGACTCGCGCACCATCTGCTCGACGCGCTGGATACAGCGATGGCACTCATGGAAGCCCTTCGTTATCTGCTGGGTGAGCTTCTCGATCTGTGACTCCTCTGCCCTCTTGGCCTCGTCGTCGTTGAAGCCCGGGAGAACGTGCTTCTGATGCAGCTTCTCCAGCTTCTGGCCCTTTGTCGCAATGTCCGCAAGAAGCTCGGTGATCTCGTCCGAGACGTCGGCCCAGCGCGGCGGCAGCAGGTCCATCTCGATTACGGCGTCGCCATCGTCCTCAAAGGCGCCGCTCGAGAGCAGCCCGCGCCGGTCCTCGTGCGCATAGCTGCCGCTCGAGTAGGCGTCCGAGTAAGGGCCTGAGGCCGATGCGCCGCCTCCTCCGTACCCGCTGCGCTGTGTGGGATGATGCGCGTACGACTGTCGGTAGGAGATGTAGCTGCAGAGGTGGATCGAACGGTCAGTCAGGGCGCAAAGTCGACGGCCGAGGAAGCAATGGATGTAGACGTACAGGTTAGTGCGGTCCCGCCACATGGCGGACGCAAGAGAGGCGCGTCGCAGTAGTCAGGAGGGGAGCCGAGTGTCGACGTCAAGCCGAGAGCAAACGCTGGTCGAGGGTGCTAGTGGTTGCAGCTTCGCGCGAATCTGGGGGAAGCTGTTGTCGTTGTCCGGAGGTTGTGTGGAATAGGTAGATGGACGGGAGTGGGAACTGAAGCTCGGCCGGCGCACGTCGGCGGCGGGTACCTAGGTACCTTCACCTAAGGACGGGACCACCTAACTGTGAGGACCAGCAGCACCTGGGCAGGAAGCGCTGATGGGGGACCTTCCCTAGCGGGTGCGAGCTGAGGTGCCCTGGTGTCATTTCAGAAGGAGGAGTGCTAGGGGCACAACCACTTTTTGCTAGGTGCACAACCCGTCCCATAGACCGATGATTTCTAGCCAATCCCGTGCCGCACCGCCCGCCACATCGCAAGCATCAGTCACTACGGGAGCAACCGCAAAATACAGCAACAGCAGCAGCAGCAGCAGCAGCAGCAACAGCAGCATCAACTTATCGCGGCCGGCGCCAAAGCTAGGGACGGCATCGTAGACGGCATCGCAGGCGGCAGCGCAGGCGGTAGCGCAGGTAGTAGCGCAGACGGCAGCGCAGGCGGCGGCAGCGCAGGCAGTAACGCAGGCGGCAGCGCAGGCACGTTCGGCGCCCGGCACGCCTAAGACTGGATCGCAAACCTGATTTCCGAACATTGCTGCGAAACGGCGCAAATGCGTTTTTCGGGTGAATTGAGCCCTGCCGGCGCCGTAGTAGCGATATAACGATGAGATATCGGCGTGCGTTGCGACACGGCGCTGCTATCCCATGCCTATACACCAAAATTGGCTGGCGCGGGCTGGTAGCGGGGCGCGGACCTAGAAATGGGGACGGGTTGTGCACCTAGCAAAAAGTGGTTGTGCCCCTAGCACTCCTCTTCAGAAGAGACGTTCGCCCGTTGCGGAGCTGACGTAGCCACTGTGGGCGTACGGTGCGCACATGGCTATCTCCATCGTTCGCACGTTAGACCTTTGAGCTATCGCTGGTTTGTTTACAGTGCACGATTGCCTCGGATGGCACCACTAGGTACCTAACGTAGTACTTACCTACCTAAGTACCTAGCAGTTACTGCTAGGCAGGTATCTTGGTGGGCGGGCCCAGTGGCCTACGTACCTGGCCTGGAAATGACAACCTTGGAAAGAACCCGGCCCGACCTCACCTACCTGGAGCTGGTGCCCAGCAGAGACCACCTGAAGCTGCCCGCGCTGTGTGCCCTGAAGTTCCCGGGCAGACTGTCTGGGCCCCGTCCTTCCCGTCTAGCACCTTGAGGTGCGGCCTCGAAGGAGTGCATGAAGCTCTCGGCGCCAGCTCATGCTGCTGGTGGACTCGACGCTCGGCAGATTCACAATCCAGCGCAATTCGTACACGAAAAAAGACGACAACCCGAAGCATGGCAATGCATTGACACAAAGTTCACGTGTTCCACTTCGGGGGTGATCTCCCACGGCAGCGCTGTGCGCCCCTGGCAGAGGCGCGGTGGCCGTCAGCCACTGGAATCAGCAGCAGCTGAAAGGACCTGCTTGCTATGTAGCAGGGTGGACGTGGCAGTCCAGCCCTGGAGATGGGAGGACGGGACTCAACGTGTTTCGACTCCAGGGGGCCCAGTGCGCAGCAACGGGCCCGATGGACGCCTCCCCAGTCTTCCAATATGGCCCGCCAGTAGGACAGGGGCCCGGACGCCTGCTGAGACCCAGTATTTCTGCCGCGCTGCCAGGTTTGTCCTCGAGCCTCCCCCTACCTTGCCCTTGGTACTCGGACCTTCAGGTTCTTATGACTGTGCTCCTCCCCCTCCCACCCCACGACGAAAAGCTGCCCACCGTTCGAGCCAAGACGCCACCAAAACCTCCCTCTACTATCGCACACGTCAACACCATCGCAATCAACCCTTGTGATCGTCACCGACTGCGATATTTGCTCCCAACCCTTTGCCCGCCATGGTGAGTGTCGCCCAATACTGCTGTCCCTTCTCGCTGGCTGCTCTGCTCGCTGGGGATTCTAGCGGTCGTCACTTCCCCAACCCCGCCATTCTTGTTCGGGAGGGGCTGTCCGACATCGTGATGTGGAACGGGATTGACGCTGACGCCCCGTGCTTGGACAGGCTGATTCCCTTACCGAAGAGCAGGTCTCCGAGTTCAAGGAGGCTTTCTCCCTGTTTGTAAGTTGATGGCCTCCGACCACCGCGCCCCGTCTCTTCAGCCGCTGACACAACCCCCCTAGGACAAGGACGGCGATGGTGAGTACCTAGTAGCTCGTCGACGACACGCAAGCCGCGCGCGAGCGTTTCCTTGCCACGACCCCTCCCCGACGTCGACAGTATACAGCGCCAGCGTCCATCTCTGAACGCGCCGCTGTGAATACGAATGTGGTCGAATGAATGCGATGCACGTGCGGCATGGGCTAATCGCTTCGTCGCGCAATGCAGGCCAGATCACCACCAAGGAGCTGGGCACCGTCATGCGCTCCCTGGGCCAGAACCCTTCCGAGTCGGAGCTCCAGGACATGATCAACGAGGTTGATGCCGACAACAACGGCACCATCGACTTCCCTGGTATGTCACCACGCACTCGTCGATTGACTGGAGCTTGCCAGGAACCGAGCGCTGACCGCATCGTCGCGTAGAGTTCTTGACCATGATGGCGCGGAAAATGAAGGACACCGATTCCGAGGAGGAGATTCGAGAGGCTTTCAAGGTTCGATTGACCACAGGTGATACGATGAGACAGCATCGCCCGCGGCTAACAGTGCGCCACAGGTCTTCGACCGGGACAACAACGGCTTCATCTCTGCTGCCGAGCTGCGCCACGTCATGACTTCGATTGGAGAGAAGCTTACCGACGACGAGGTCGACGAGATGATCCGCGAGGCTGACCAGGACGGCGATGGTCGGATTGACTGTGCGTGGCGTGAACCCTCCATCCTCCCCAAGCGCTCGGTTGCTAACGGCTGTAAAAGACAACGAGTTCGTCCAGCTCATGATGCAGAAGTAAAGAAAGATATCCTGGCTTTTCAACGTTTTTCGTGCCCGCCTGTGGCAGGAGCAGACAATGCAGAATAGCTACGCAGCGTCGGGTATTCCATGTGTGTGCCGGCAATGGTTTGGCAGAGGCTTCGGGAGTATCTCTCTTCCTTTCATACTTGATACTGGCAAAATTTATGAACGCGGGGTGATCAATTGGTTGATATCATGAGGATTGGTCGTCACCCAACCCACTGGCAGCGGCGCCGTCGGGTATGGGGCCACTAGCGAGTCGAGCCGTCCTCCTCCTCGCGTTGCTTGCAACGTTCTCCTTCCAAGAGTGTGACAGTGCCCGTACTAGAGGCCTGTACGAGGAGCCTGCGCCGTGCGGGAGCGGGCATGGACCCATGCATGAACGTAGAGAGCAAGCCACAGCGTGTACATGGCCTAGCTCTACACCGCAACCCGAGGGCAGAGGTCCAAGTTGCGAAAGCTGAGCATGACGCAGTGATGGCATGATGCTGGCATGGGCGCTGACGTTGACCCTGACGAAATGGCGACACGGCGGCCGACAGAGTCCACAGCTAGATCGTAAGGGGCCCGCACGAGGTCATCCACTCCTTGGGTGAGGAGGAGCTTTGTTTTTGCCGTACGCAGGACCATATACTTTTTGAGCGATATCAGTCAAGATTGAAGAATACATATACAATACATATACCTCCTCCGAGGTGCCTCATATATATTTACGTGGTGTGCCTAGATGACATTGACAGGTTCCAGCACAAATGTTTGTCACTGGTCACCTTGGCTTGTTAGACAAGATGAGCTGCTCCAGGCGGGGAGCTGAAGTGCTGCCCTATGTCGGCCCGATGGTTTCGCCGGCAGCCTTGACAGGTGCTCCCCTCCACCGTCAGCGTCCTCATGCTGGCCAGGCCAATGGAGGTGGACGGGGTCCCGTTGCCCCACGTCGGCCGGTCAGTCGCAGCGGCCAGTGTGTCGCCAATATGCACTGAACAACGTAGAGGTATCAGGGCGTCCTTTTCCCACCAGCAGCTACCGACACACGCCCTCGTCCAGCCCGGAATCGCCCTGCTGCATCCGCAACACCTGCAGCGACGGGCTGGAAATCGCATTCAAGCTGTGCCAGGTGTCCGCTTTGTTCCGCTGCGTCTCGCTCCCCTTGCATCAATCCATCCCCTGCTCAGGCGACGACCAGTTCGCTGGGCCATCACCCCTTCCTCAAGATGAGCTCCTGTACGTGCCGTGCCCGCGCTCCCCGCGATCGCGACCCTGGTCTGACGAAGCATTTCTCTACAGTGAAACAATTTATACGCAATGTCCGCGCAGCCAAGACCATCGCAGACGAACGGGCGGTCATCCAAAAGGAGAGCGCTGCCATTCGCGCCAGCTTCCGCGAGGAGAGCGCTGACCACGGCGTCAGGTCGGTCCACCGCCACGCCTTCTACGAGGGCTGTTTGCGGCCTACTGAGCTTCAATCTCTGACATAGCCGTAATAGACGTAACAATGTTGCCAAACTCCTATACCTCTTCACCCTCGGCGAGCGCACGCATTTTGGCCAGATCGAGTGCCTGAAGCTCCTGGCATCCCCCCGCTTCGCCGACAAGCGGTTGGGTCACCTTGCCACGAGCTTGCTCCTCGACGAAAATCAGGAGGTACTCACCTTGGTGACGAACTCTTTGAAGAAGTACGTCGGTCTCGGGCGCGGAAGGCAGCTGGATCTCCTTGCTAACATCACCTGCAGTGATCTGGGGCATTCCAACCAATACATAGTCGGCCTCGCCCTCTGCACGCTCGGCAACATCGCGTCCGTCGAAATGTCCCGAGATCTTTTCCCCGAAATCGAGACACTCATCTCCACATCCAATCCGTACATTCGGAGAAAGGCGGCGCTCTGTGCCATGCGGATATGCCGCAAGGTCCCAGACCTGCAGGAGCACTTCCTGGAAAAGGCTGCCCACCTCCTGGCGGACAGAAACCATGGTGTGCTTCTCTGCGGACTTACCCTCGTAACAAGCCTTTGCGAGGCAGACGAAGAGGAAGGCGGAGAAGAGGGCATCGTCGAGAAGTTTAGACAATTCGTCCCCGGGTTGGTCAAGACCCTCAAGGGTCTGTCGACATCAGGCTACGCGCCGGAGCATGATGTCACAGGCATCACGGACCCCTTCCTCCAAGTCAAGATCCTTCGGTTGCTTCGCGTGCTCGCGGTCGGGGATGCTCACACGAGTGAGCAGATCAACGATATTCTTGCGCAGGTCGCAACGAACACGGATTCGTCCAAGAACGTTGGCAACTCTATCCTCTACGAGGCTGTTCTCACGATCCTCGACATTGAGGCCGACTCGGGTCTCCGGGTCCTCGGCGTGAACATTTTGGGCAAGTTCCTCACCAACAGAGACAACAATATCCGCTACGTCGCCCTCAATACACTCATCAAAGTCGTTGCGATCGAGCCCAACGCAGTCCAGAGGCACCGGAATACAATCCTGGAATGTCTGCGAGACCCTGACATCAGCATAAGAAGGAGAGCTCTTGAGCTCAGTTTCACGCTCATCAACGAGAGTAACGTCCGAGTGCTCATCCGGGAGCTACTAGCCTTCCTCGAGGTAGCAGACAACGAGTTCAAACCCACCATGACCAGCCAGATTGGCATTGCCGCGGACAAGTTTGCACCCAACAAGCGCTGGCACTTCGACACGATGCTCCGGGTCCTATCATTGGCGGGCAACTATGTCAAGGAGCAGATCCTGTCCTCCTTTGTTCGCTTGATTGCGACAACGCCGGAGCTCCAGACGTACGCCGTTCAGAAGCTGTACACCAATCTCAAGAAAGACATTACTCAGGAGAGTTTGACGCAGGCCGGGGCTTGGTGTGTAGGCGAGTACGCCGATGCCCTACTTAAAGGCGGGCAGTACGAGGAGGAGGAGCTCGTTCGAGAAGTCAAGGAGAGTGACGTTGTCGACTTGTTCACGCTCATCCTGAACAGCAGCTATGCCACGCAAGTCTCCACCGAGTATATCGTCACGGCGCTCATGAAACTCACCACGAGGATCACGGACGCGTCGCAGGTGGAGCGGGTCCGCCGTATCCTGCAGACGCACCAGACCAGCCTGGATGTTGAAGTGCAGCAGCGAGCCGTCGAGTATAGCAACCTCTTTTCGTTCGATCAGATTCGCCGCGGTGTGCTGGAGAAAATGCCGCCACCGCAGATCAAGGAGGAGTCCAGGGTCCTGGGTCCCGCGCCGACGAAGAAGGCGAAAGCGGCGAACCGAAAGTCCAGGGTCGTCAAGCCCACGGAGCAGGATCTGCTCGACATCATGGACGCCCCGGCGGCAGCTCAACCCACGAACGGCTCCCAGGCTACAAACTCTGACCTTCTCGCAGATATTCTTGGAGGTGGTGGTGCGCCGGCTCTGGGCTCGGGACCAGCCTCACCTGCGCCGCAGCAGTCGAATACGTCGTCTATCATGGACCTGTTCGGCCCAAGCCCGGGGCAGTCTTCGCCGTCTCCTTCTGGCGGCTCCGCTGGCCCTGATATCCTGGGCTCAGCCGCCTCACCCCCACCGCAACAGCAGCAGCACTCGACACCTCAGCCTAGCGGGATCCCTTGCTACGACTCCAACGGCCTGAACGTGACGTTCCAGGTTCAGCGTAACGCCGAGGGCACAATACAGGCCACGGCCAGGTTTCTGAACACGACGGGCTCCTCGACTTTGTCGAACGTGGGTCTCCAAGCTGCGGTGCCCAAGTCACAAAAGCTGCAGCTCCTCAGCATCTCGTCCACAGAACTGGCACCCGGTGCCGTGGCTACACAGATGATGCGGGTAACTGGTTGCAAAGGAGTAAGTGTTGCGTAGCATTTTGGGTCGAGGGCCGCTACTGATCGATGACACAGCCACTCCGATTGCGCCTGCGTATTGGATACACACACCCCACGGCGGGCCAGGTGTTGGACCAAGTGAACTGGACCGAGCCATCATGAGATGCCTCCGAGAGACAGACGATGCGACGAGAACATCGAGACGTGGCGAAGTAGCCTTGAGGGGCATCAAGGCTGTTGCGTGGAAGGGAAGCAAGGTGACGCGGGGTGACGCGGGTGTATTGGCCATGCAGCGTCAAGTTGCCTGTCCCCCCCTGTGAAGATGTGCCAGGCAGTGTCGTCCTTCCCAACCAGTACTGTTGCCGAATGGTGAAGGCTGCTTCGCGGAGTGCACACAGGGCACCCGAGTTTAGGAAAAGACTAGACGAAACAAGAATCCTATTCCCAAAATACCAAAGTGGCGTCGCCGCCATTGTGCTCGCATAGTTATGGGTTCCGGTAGTTGGGAAACAGGACGCATCTGAGTCAGTGCCGTGTGCATTGAAAAGGGGGCGTCCCACTCGTGGTATAAACCACCAGTACAGCAGAATCCCCTCATTCCCCATCATCAGCCACAACCATCTGCAAACCCACCATTGCTGCTTGGACGGAAAAGTAGAGTCCTTCGCTTTCTATGTTGATGAAAGCCCTGAGATCAAGCATCGGCATCTTGCAGCGCGGCGACACCCGCTCACTCGTCCATCTGGGTTCCGTGTCGTCATTCTGCGCCGGCCGTCACCCACAACGGACCATGGCCACCGCGGCCAGGACGGGGCATCTCGAGCGGACGGCAGAGGAGCCGCGGGATAGGGTAAGTTCTTGCGGAGTCTTCACCGAAAAGAACTCCATAGCTCTGTGCTTTATGAGTCGTGCGCTGAATCTCGGGACAGCGACTTCACGAGGTGAGGCTCAGTCGGGTCGATCAGGTTAACGAGCGGATACGGCAGTTTCGCCTCGAGCTCCAGTCCGGGCCAGCAAAGGTACGATGACCCCCAGATCGTGTGTCCCCGGAGCCCGTCAACTCCTCGGTACCTACTTGGATCAGATACCAGGCAAAGCTGACCCTTCCGCGCCGTGCAGTTCCTCCCGGGCCAGTGGCTAGACACGTACGTGCCCGGCATCGAGAAGGCAGGAGGGTTTACCATCACGTCCACCCCCTCCGCTGCTGCCGGCGAGGTTGTCGGTGCTGCGACGCCGCCATATCTTGAGCTTGCCGTGCAGGAGTCTCCCGGCAATGAGGTAGCGGCATGGCTCTGGAGGGCGCCCGATGAGATCGTGGGGGCGCTGCTGCTGGTGCGCATCGGCGGGAGCTTCGTGTTCCCACCCTTGGCGGCGCCATCAGACTCGGGTTCGGCTGCGCAGCAACAGCAGGACCTCAACAACGTCCGGAGCGTGTTCTTCGTCGCCGGCGGCGTTGGCATCAACCCGCTCGTGAGCATGCTAAGCGCTCTCGCCGAAACAAGTCCTCTTCATGGTGGCGGCGGCGGCGACGCGCTCCATGTCAGCGTTTTGTACGCGACCAAGATGCCCGCGAGCGGTAATCTAAGCGATGTGCTGTTCATGGAGAGGCTCGCGAAATTGTTTGGCGAGGGGCGCTTGAAGGGCCTGCTGAGGATCTACGCCACGGATGGTACAGGAGCACGTCTGCCGCCGGAGGGGACGTGTGAGCTGCACGGCGCCCAGGTCAAGATACGCCACGGCCGCATTTCCGAGGAGCAGGTCCGGACCATGGTCGGGGAGCGGGGCCCAGAAGCCAGTCTTGTGTATATCTGCGGCCCGCCGATGATGACGGATCAACTGGCCGCGGCGCTCACATCGGGGGTCGGGGGCAAGCCCTTCATGGAGCCGGGGCGCGTCTTGACAGAGAAATGGTGGTAATAGAGCATCGCATAGAGGCACCGCACATGATGAAAGTAAACTACGCAGGGGACGAGGCTAGGAGATGAATCAGGCACACGAGCAGGGGGTGGCCCGGGGAGCGCCAGTAACGCAGAGAGTGTGGTATCGTATGTATCTATCGTCAGACATGGCAACATGCAAGTCCTTGCGTCGCCTTTCCTCCCAACCTTTCACGGACCCTGGCTCAATCCACACCTCCTCCTTCTTGCCGCCGTTCGCCGATCCCAAGCCATACGGCCAACGCTCAAGAAAACAAGTCATGTGCTTTTTGCCGGCGTCTTGGTCGATTCGTATCCAACAGCTCCTTTCCGGCGTTGCTACCGCCAAGCTTCTCCGGGAAAAGCTCTCTCGCATTTGCCGCCGCACCCTTGATGGAAAATCCGCCGTCGCCGTCGTGCCGTTGGCTTGCGAGGCCGCGAATGTTGAAAGCGCCGCCTGCGGGGACGTCTGGGGTCGCCACAATCTTGGGCATGTCGCCTTCTGTCAGGCGGGCCGAGCCGATGGAGCGTTCCAGCTGATCAAGCTGCCCTCCCCTACCGGACTTCTTTGTCGGGAACAGCTCCTTGGCTTTGTTGTCGGACGTGAGGCGTCCCTTGATACTTCGAGCCTCGGCGCGGTTGTTGCGGGATGAGCTAGTCCTCCTATCCATGTACGCATCGCCATCACTGTCGCCATTCGCGTCCCGTCTAGGCGAAGCAGACCTGTCGCGTCTCGATGGGCGACCCGAGAACAGTTCCTTGCCCTTGTTCTCTGCAGCATATGACCTGGGATGGTCTTCCGAGTCTGAATGCCGCCGGGAGCGCGTCGGCCGTGGAGCATCGTCGTACATGCTAGCCTCGAACCGTACGTTCTCCTCGTCAGAGTCACGTCGCCTCCGTCCTCCTCTGCGGCTGTCGCCGTCCCTATCTCGGTATCTTGATCGCTGCTCCTGCTGCCGTCGTCGACGCTCCTCTGGGTCATGCTCGGGATGGAGGAGGTAATACCGACTTCGCAGAGCGGCACCTGCTTGTTTCCGGTCACCCTGGGTCGCAAAGCGGACGAGCAGAGATATCTCGGGCCTGCCGTCAAGGGGCTTGGCGGGGAGAGTCTCCCCAGGAGGTAGGGCAGTTGCGTCGGCAACCTCAATCGAGCTCAGAGCAACAATTGCTTCGCGGGCCGTGGATTCGGAGGCGAAGACGATGTTGGCCGAAGTGTCGTCGATCCATTCCACTTTTTCGAGAGGGCCAAAGTGCGACTTGACGTAGGCCTTGATATCGTCTGTGTGCAACGTGTCTAAGCCACGAACGTGGAGCTTTGTCGGGACTATGGAAGTGGCCTCATTGTCGTTCTGGGGTTCATCGTCGACCACCTCGCCCGGCTCCTCTGGCTCGTCGGGTTGCTGAGGTTGTCGAGGGTCAGCGTCGGGGGAGAGGCGGCTGCAAAGAGCGCCGGACTTACGAGGATGTCGTCGGCGGCTGGGAAGTCGGCGAGGGGTGCCTCGTGTGCGCCCTCGAGCGCGTCGCCCATTTCTATATCCAGATCCATTCTGTCGTCCTTGTGTGGTTGCTTCTCTAGGCAGGCCGGGGGCTGGGGCGGGACTGCGGCGCCGATGCTGCGCTCTAGAGGACACGGCAAAGTAGATGTGGCGGATGAGGTGCGTGACCGGGAGAGAGCGCGGGATCGAGAAGCAGTCGGGCTTGGTAAACAGGCCTCGTGTGAGTATCGGTATCAGGGGGGTCTTATACACATCTAGATGTGTATAAGAGACAGGTCCAGGACTGTTCGGGGCGTGGCAGGGTGTGCCAGCGCACAAGATGTTGCGAGAATGGAGTGAGTGTCTCGTGGCGACAGAGTTGCGTTGGAGATGCGGAACTTGAGACTGTGGTTGCCGCGGTGGAGCTACGCGCAAAGGGCAGTGGCTACCCTATAGGTGGATAAAGGTGAACTGCACGCGCGTTTCTGAGACCACAGCTGTGATGAGAGCAACGGACGCAGAATTTTGATGGTTTGAAGACGAAATCTTGTCCGGGATTCGAAGACGAGCCGACCGGGCAGTGCCCGTGTAATAATGCACGAGGTAGCACAGCGCGTGAGCTCAGCCTGCAGGAACCCCAGTCCACGTGCTCTGGTGCCGACAACCCATGCATGTAGTTCGTGGTGCGTCGCTGAGCGGGCGCTTAGAGCAGCTCACCAACCGTCACATCACGTCACATCACATTACGCCTGCTCTACCGCGACTTACGGAGCCAGATCCCCGCATCGTAGAGACGGGTGACTCGCAAGGACGTCGGTACCAACAAACATCACCCGCAGCGCGTCTGCTAGCAAGAAGTCACCATGGCTGGCTTCGGCGCTGCAGTGGAGTCGCTCGTTGAGACGTACACGCGATGCCTCAGACTCCTCGAGAAGCTGCACCTTGGGGGCGGCGACGAACAGAGCGCCCACGAGCAAAAGGCACGCCTCGGCAGCCAGGTGCGCTCTGATAGGTCCCTGATCAGGCGCACGTACCGGTCAAAGCTCTCGCGTCGAGGGAGCGCGTTCGAAGTGGGCGACGGTGAGTGTACTGTACAAGATGCACACAGCCCCAACAAGATCCGTCTTTGACGAGTTCGTCCCAACGCAGCGCCGGCGACTTCGTCGCTGAAGAGGGTAGCTAGGAAGCTCAGAGCAGCACTCACCGCGGCCATTGCCCTGCTCGCCCGCGACAGAGCCAGACCAAAGTCGCTCGACTATGCGTCACTCACGACAGTTTCGACCGACACCCGCAGAGATGCCCTTCGAACGATGACGAGCCTATCTGCGCGTCTGTCGTTACCAAAGGGCGACGTCGGATCACGCGCGAGCAGGGGCACCACGTCTTCAACAAGCAAAGGCTCTCGCCGGACTCGCCGGGGCGAAGGCGCGTCGTCGTCGCCGTCGGGCAAATCGAGGAGTAGGGAAAAGGTCGGACGGCCGCGCCAGAGCAGAGACCACCAGCGCGAGGCTCACCAACACTGCCTCGCAAGAGAAAAGAAGCGCAAACAAGGCAGCAAAAGGTTCTCGTCGACGACTTTTTCGTCGCAAAGCACCAAGCTCGGGGAGATCAGACCGAGACGCCGGGGAGGCGGCGAGCACGGCGACTCCTGGGGCTATCACGCTGAAGTGACATATCCTCTGCCATATCCATGGGTCGATGCGGTTGAGGCGCCTGGCAACGACAAGAGGAGCAAGGGACGCTTCTGGGGCCTATTTGGACGGAGATGAAGAAGAAAAAAAAAATCACTGGCAGTTGAGGATCTGAGGAGTAATGTCACGCCCAGACTGGTGTCGATGCCCTCTTGTGGATGTAGTGCTGAAGTCCTGCACTACCTAGGTACCTTGGCTGATGAGGCCGGGTGATGGGAGGCACCTGGGCGCACCGCACCGGTCGTGGCCTGGGAAGCCCTACCTAGAGGACGGGAGCCTTAACGCTGGAAGTCCCCGGTACAGCCCTCCAACTAGCTGTCGGCGACCGGGCTGCGAGGAGCCTCAAAGACAGCCCGCCCGAGCCTCTGACGCAGCGCCGGGCGCACAGGATCGGGCCACCTAAAGCAAGTACTCGCTACCTAGCAAGCCTAGGTAGGTACGTACCCACTTTGCCCCCCCTCCAAAAAATATCCCCACACAGGCTGTTGCCAGATGAGAAGCCTCAATCCGCCCGTCATCCACGAACAAACCACCGCACACTCACGCGCACGCACTCGGCAGGCCACGATCCCCTCCCCTCGCCACGCCTGCCAGGCCTACCCGATAAACGGCAGCGTCGGCTTCCACCGCGGCGAGACGGCACAAACACCCTCTCACGGCCCTCCCGCCTACGTCGGCCATCTCCCGCAATGCCTCAAGACCCCGCGACTATCCTCGCCGCCGTTTTGCGCGCTGCAACAATCGACGACCATGAAGAGGTGCTCAAGGCCGCCAATGCTGCCATCAAGGCCAACCGCGCCGACGAGGACGCCCAACACACCCGTGTAGTTGCCCTGCTCAAGCTCGACCGATTCGACGACGCCGTCCGAGCCATATCCGAAGGCGGAGTCAAGATCGAGTCTCGATGCGCCCTCGAGAAGGCGTACGCCCTCTACAAGCTTGGCCAGCTCGACGAAGCCGCCGCCCACCTCAAATCCTTCGGCCTGGGGAAGCGCAGCTTCAGCCATGTCGCCTCGCAGGTTGCTTACCGCGCCGAGAGATTCGGCGAGGCCGAGCTCATCTACAGGCGGCTGCTCACCGACGGTGATGCATCTCAGGAGGAAAACGACCTCCAAATCAACCTGAGGGCGACATTGGCCCAGGCTGAGTGGCAGGGAACCTCGACTGCCGCCAGCTCGACTACCGACCCCGCACAGGACACCTTTGAGCTGTGCTATAATGTTGCGTGCTCGCACATTGCCAAGGGATCTCTCGAAACGGCCGCAACCTTGCTCCAGCGCGCCGCCAAGCTGTGCGATGCGTCCGAGGACTTGACCGAAGACGACAAGAAGGCTGAGTTGAAGCCCATTCTTGCCCAGCAGGCATACGTCCACGCCAAGCTTGGAAACACCCAGCGGGCATTGGACCTGTACCGGTCGCTGGACGTCGATGAGTGAGTCTTGTTTCCTGCCTCGGGGCGCCACAAGCGCTCTGTATTTCATTAGCATCCGTTCCCTAACAAATTTCAGTGATGCGGATCCCGACTTTGTCATTGTGGCACAAAACAACAAGTCTGCGCTGGAGGCGAGGCCGTCCAACCCATACCTTCTCCAACGCCAAGCTGCTACGTGGATGTCCGGCGCTACCAACGCCAAACTATTCAGTTATCAATCCGGCGTACTGGCCAGGAATCAGTCTGTCGTTGACATCCTGGCGCAAAAGAGCGACGGAGTGCGAGAAAGGACACGCAAGATACTGGACCAAGCGCACCAGCCTACGACACGACAGGACGTCAACTCTACTGCAGCCATCAATGCCGCAGCCGAGACCCAGGGTGTTCCCGACAAGGAGGTTCTCCGAGAACTGGCGTCCCTATCCAAGAGACACCCAAACAACGTTGGTCTCGTGCTCATCACGGTCCAACTGCACCTGAAGCGCAAGAACCACGGCGCAGCGTTGTCGGCGTTAGAGTCTTTCTTCGTTCGACTCAACCAGAGCGACGACGACCAGGATCGAGAAGTCCGGTTCAGTCCTGGTCTGGTTGCCCTGGCAGTGTCCCTTATGCGCGCCCAAGGCAGGGACGCTTCTGCCAAGTCAGAGCTGGTCAAGGCCGCCACATACTGGCGAGATCGCCCTGTTGGCGCGTCATCTTCGCTTCTAAGAGAAGCTGGTGTGGAACTATCCAAGTCATCTAATGCGGACGACCTGTCGCTCGCCGCTGCAGCCTTCCAGAGACTCTACATGGAGAACAAAGACCACCCCGTGGTCACAGCCGGTTTGGTCGCCTCTTTGGCTGCATCTGATGTAGCCAAGGTCGAACGCTACGCCGCTGAACTGCCCCCAGTCGAGACCCTCGTCGACGGGATAGATACCGAAGCGCTCGTCCGAGCTGGGGTTGCAGGGGCTTCCAGCACCGCCGCGCCCGTCAAGAAGAGACCAGCGACGGAGGAAGCTGGCGACGAAAAGGCGGCCAAGAGGCGCCGAAGGAGGAGGCTCCCCAAGAACTACGTCGAAGGCAAGGCTCCCGATCCGGAGCGATGGCTGCCCCTCCGAGACCGCTCGTCATACCGGCCCAAAGGCAAAAAGGGAAAGAAGAAGGCTGGTGAGTCAACGCAGGGCGGAATAGTCAAGGAGGAGGAGACGCTGGACCTCGTTGGTGGGGGCGGTGTCAAGGTGGAGAAGGCGTCTGCTTCAAACCCATCCAAGAAGAAGAAGAAGGGCAAGAAATAGACAGGACCAGATAGTCACAATGCATGCCCGCTGGATGGTGAAGAAGTGCTGACACCAAGTTCCTGCATGCTTCACATCGCGGATGAAGTCGAGTCCCTGTTGCCAATAACACCCATGCCATAGCATATTCTACGTGCAGGATGTTATCGGAAGCAGGAGCATATGCCTGGCTAGACAAAATCTTGGAGAGCCTGGCCTGCTCGAGGAACAAAGGTGTCTTGAAATCAGCCGCGGCTACGGCCGCTTTCGCAGCGTATTTCATATACGCAGAGTCTCGAGCATCAAAGTAGGCAAAGCAACACCATAAGCCACGGAGAACCTTGCTCAAATCTCAAATCAACGCCCAGCCAGGGCGACTTTTACGTTACAGGACAGGGCTCTAAATAACGGGTGCTGCTGCTCCTCTTGCCCGGCCGCTGTGCGAGCGAGCAGTCTATCACAGAACGTTACCGTAAATTCGTAAAACTTTGCCTCCGAACTTGACGGAAGACGTCGGCCATTCTGGCGCGACATGGAGTGGACTCGCTCCCTCATAAAACGCCTCGCGCCCTCTTGGGTTTGCAGCATACCTGACCCCTCGCAGCGACTGAATCTACATCCATTTTGTGACATGATTTCAGATTTGTCAGTCTTCGCCCCTTACTCACTACATATGGTCCCTCACGCTGTCATTATCTCTGCCGGCAAGCTCGAGCGACGGCCTGAGCTGGTCGGTGGACCGACTTCATCGCTACCAACATGCTTGTCGCCTTTTGAGTCACGGGCTGTTGTGGCTTGTTGGCCCGACCTTTCGTTCTTCTTGGCGCCATCTTCGTCTTCCTCGCCTTCCGATTCCGAAGCCGTCTCGATCAGGGGAAGCGGCGATCGACGTCCGTCCGAGAAGCTCACGGCAGCCTCGCTTTCGCCATCAGATGGCACAGCTAGTCTCCCGCCCGCGGAAACGCTTCTAGCTGCCTGCGCAGAGGAGTACTTGCGATGGAGCTCCCTGAAGCTCCGTGCCGTGGTAGTGCTGACGCTGGCGACGGATTCCCGTCGGCCGTTCGACTCGTTCGACTCCGACGGTGTCTCCGGTGCGGAGTGATAGGCATCTTCGTGCTCCTCATCGAAGGAAGTCGGCGACACTACGTGTTCTTGTTGCTGGGGCTGCTGCTGCTGCTGCTGCTTTCGAGCGAGAATCTTTTCGTCTTGTGTCATGCTCTGGATCTCGGTCCCAATATTGATGACAGATGCCTTCTTGCCGTGCACGACGAAACTTCCGGTCCCGCGGGACAGTATGACTTCTTGCGGGGTATCCTCTGACGAGACACCAGGCGCAGGTTCCCTGCCTCTCCGACTGCGATGATGGGAAAGGTGGCCTGCGCTATCCCTAAGTGTGCGCTGGAGGCTCCGCCTGATCTTGCTCCTCTCGAGCCGGTCGCGCTCAGCAGGAGCGACGTGTTCGGCGCTCTCTGCCGAGGTGGAGATGGTGGCCTTGTCCACGGATCCCCTTGCATTTCTGGCCTCCCACAGTCCAGCTTGCTTCAAGAAGTCGCGCTCACTAGCATCGACATCGTCGTGGTTGGACTCGGCATTGTTGGATGCTGTGGAGTCCCCTCCTTCGCGAGACAGAGGACGTAATGATTGGGGGTTGGAAGCTGGGGGTTGGATGGGCGAGGCGGCAATGCTCGAAATGGATCCATGACGCGGACTCTTCATGTCGGGCATAGCATGGCCAACCTCTCGCGATGGCGGACGGTGTTTCGTGCTAGCCTGCGGTGTCGTCTGCAACGAGTCTCCGCCAGCTTCCTCTCCTGCTGCAGCGGCGCTGAGGGTGGGCGCGAGACTCGAGTCTGTGGGCGTCTGTGGGCTTCTATCGGTGGAGGTTTGCCTCTTTGCCTGTGACTCCAGCCGAGTAGACATCGGTCGCGGCGTCGGAGACGAAGCAGTCTCGGGATCTGTGTGAATTTTAGACGGCGACGTCGCCGCAGTCGATGCAGTTGCTGGCCGGTCGTCTGCGAGGTCTTGGACCAGGATGTCTCGATGGCACTTCTCCCTCCAGATCTCCATCCTCGTCCACTTCAGTTGGGCTGACTGGCGTGCGGCGGCCGACAGAAGCTGCTCTCTGGTCCTGGGCTGGATCGGAGCTAGTATCTGCAAATGACGGGCGTTTCGAAGTTGCTCGTCCAATTGCTTTTGAGCATCCTCCACTTTGTGCTCTGCTTCTGTAATCTTTTGCTGCATTCCGTCTCGTCGAGCCGTCTGAATGTCCTCTGCCATCTTGTGGTCAATCTTCCCTCGCGCGATCGACACAGGACCGGTCGGCGTCTGTACGAGCTGGGTGGCGTCAGAGCTGTCGAGACGTCGAATGCCCCGTCGGCCCTGGCCATCGTAGTTGCCTCCGACAACACCGCGCATCCGGATTCCAGACGTTCTGAATGCGGCGGCGTAGTTGAGTTTGGCCAGCCAGTCGTTCCGCTCTTCCTCAGTGTCTGCGAGGAGGACCTCGTCGAGCCCACCTTGCCGAACGTAAACAAAGGCGTTCTTGTGCTTCTTGTAGGTGGAATCCATCAACGCAACAGCACCGTGGGTAGACATCAACGCATCTGGCTTGAACTCCTCCAGCGGTGGCTTGAAGATTATGGGAATGCCGTCGTTGCCAACCTTGACGTGGTGTTCGTACTGATGCATCAGGTTCTTAACCCAGCTCGTGTTGCGGAAGAAGTACAGCTGAGCGCCCGTGAGGATGGCTCCCCATTCCTGCCACGGGGAACGGGTCTTTCTCTTCTTGGAGTCCTTGCGCCACAGCAAGCCCACCTTGGTTATCTTGATGTCCACAATGCCGGGATGAGCGTCCTCCGGGTTTGTGGCCGTCTTTTCCGACATGAATGCGTCGGGTCGAGAGCGGGCCGAGACGATCTGCAGCACGCCCGTCTTGAAAAAGGTATTCTGCAAATCTTTGAGGTTGAGGCAGGTTGCCGTGCCGAGATAGTTGTAGTGGTCGTCTAGGTGCATCGCGTCCTTGAGGTTTGGTCGCAGAGCATCGAGGTTACCATCCAGTATCAGCGTATAAGGGTCTATGGGTTCTTTGGCAGCGCGCTTTGCAGCATCTCCGGGGTTCCCCGGGAGGAGCTGCTTCTTCTTGGTCTTGCTCGAGGTGACACGCTCTTGGCTCAGGTCGAGATCATCTTCCACGTGAATAAAAGGCGTGTATGATATGTTGTCGTAGAAACATTCCAGGATGTCATCAAAAATGCCCTCGCCGCGCGTGTTCTTTAGGTAGTCCGACTTCTGCATCTTGTGCTTATTGTTCTTGTTGAAGACATCCGTGTGAAGGATAAGGAGCGAGAACGCAATGAAGTACGCTTGATCGGGGGAGTTGTAGATACCGGGGTTGCACTCATGGTACCGGTTCGCAAATGCCTGCAAGCAACGATCTATCTGCTGCGTTTCTTTGGGGAGCTCGGCTTCCATTAGCAACTTGCGGATTGCCATATCCATTGGATCTCCGAAGAAACCGAAGCTGCGCATATAGCTTCTCAGGACGGCGGCGGAGAACGGGTCAGTACCCTTTGACAAGGCTGAGGCAATAACCCTCCGACTAACAGTGTCCTCGAGACGGGTAAGATATTTGGCTGGCGACTCGTCCTCGAGTCTTTCAGGCAGCACAACTGAGCTTCTAGACAGTTGAAGAGAGTTGCTCTTGGATGTGATGGAGCCTGGGGTTACAGGAGTCAGGGACCCCTGTCGACTCAGCTCAGAATTCTGTCGTATGCGGCTCAAGCCAAGTAGATCTCCGAAACTTTTGCGACCTGTTGAAGTTGACGTCCGTGTGGTAGGGGGAAGAAGATGGTCGTCAGTCGAGTTCCGGCCCACGGAGCTCATGGTAGACGACCTGCCTCGTAGCAAGGTAGCTCGGGTCGGAGAGGAGTGGCCCGAGTGAGGGTCGTTCCCTCGAGGAAACAGGCTGGTGGCGGAAGATGCCTGAGCCCCTGAGCCATCTGCGCACCTATCAGTGTGAGCGCGCGGCGTGGTTGCGCTCTGTGCCGAGGCCGGACGAGGAGTCGAGCCGACCCCGAGGGAAGTCGAAGAACCAGCAGCCGAACGGGAAGAGTTCTGTTGTAAATGTGCGAAGGGGAAAAGCGGCTCGGGGGCCTTCTTCGTCCTGCGAAGCTTAAAGAAGGGGATGGATGGCTGCGACCTCTTGGGCGTGGTACTCGGGCTCGGGTGAGATATGCGATCAGTTGAGCTTGCGTCGGACCTCGACGACTCCGATTGGCGATGGTTAATTGTGGTGAGCGATGTGCCATTTGAGGCAGATATCGACTGCACCGACGGCCGGGGGGACGCAGGCTCGTCCAATGTAGCCAGCGACGGTCTGCCCCTGTCGTCCGTGAACGATTTCCTGAGAGAAGCCCCTGGCGTCTTGTGGCCATCACGTTGAACGTCATTAGACCGTCGAAATTTGGCCGCCAGATTCATGCGGGAGGACATCTTCTTCGGGCCTGTGATGTCGTTGGTCGGTGCAGTCGTGATGATGGCGGGAGCTAAGGGGCGCGCGTGTTAGCGTCACAAGTTCCCCAAAGCCGGCAGGCGCGTAGCCAGCCAGAAGAGAGGGTGCGGGGGAGGGGGCCATACGTCGAGGCAAGGGTGGAGGGTTCTCGGCCTGCTGCTTTGCCCTGAGGGAAAGCTGAGAGTCGGAGGCATTGCGGAAGCGCAAGACAGAGAAGCGTTTGTGTCTGCTAAGCTCGGGCTGCGGACTTGGGGGGGTATCGGGACGATTGGCGGTAGAGGCGGACTCGTGGCTCGGGTTGCGGGACAGGGAGGCGCTAGCATCATCGATGGCCGATTGTGTTGTGTGTTTCTTTTGCTTCGGAGCTTGCGTGGGATTGCTTTCGCAGGCGTCTAGTGCGGGCACGGCGACGGGGGCGACGGCATCACGGCGGGCAGCGTCGGTATCAGTGTCGTCGGAAGCGCTGGGTACGGCGGCGGCGGTGTGGCGTCGCATGTCGGTCTCGCTGGCCATGTTTGCTCGACGGCGAAGAAAAGGCATCTTGGCGGGCGATGGTCATGGCACGCGTCGGCGAAGGGCCGCGTGGATATGCGTGGCGGCGGGATGGATGGATGCACACGTTGGCGACGGCCGGCAGCGGCGGCAGCCGCGAGTGTGGCCGGTCCACGATGCTCGCAGTCGACGAGCGTGCCCTGGCCCGGAGAGGCGAGGTTCGGAGGGAGGCGATGGGATAACGGAACGAGGGACGGGATCCGGGACGGCCACGAGCCGGATAGCCTCCTAGTCGCGGACCATTACCATTTGCGAGGCAGAGTTGACGGTGCGTGCTGGAAAACGCAGACTCGACGACGACGGGGCTGAAGCAGACCCAATAGCTTCCGTGTTCGTACTTGTACGGCGCAGCGCCTTCGGTGTGTGCCCAGTGGATGGCAGTGTAGTGTCTGGTCGGGGTGCGTGTCGGTCGGTCTTTTGCAAACAAGGGTGTGGGCGTGAGGACTGGAAGGATGGGCCGGGTGGTTGGCACGAGTTGAGGTCGAGCAGGTAATACATGCAAGGAAGGCAAGCCAAGGCACGTACAAGTACAGTAGGCTGCCCGACCCCTGGCTGGAGAGCGCTGCCCGCGGGCACCCAACGTGCCAACGTCCGGGTCCCAGCCAGCGTCCTCACGCTGTCTGCGCGGGCTAAGCGGCGGCGGGGCGGTCGGTCCACGGGTCCACGGGTCTTTGCAGCTGGGGTGGAGTGCTCCAGGCTGGACGGCCAGGGGGGTGGCGGGCGGGTCGGGCCCAGGGGCGAACCTGGAAAGCTTCCAGCAGCAGGGACGAGGAGTATTCCACAGCGCCGTTGACCCTGTGCACTGCTGCGCAAGGGTCCGGGTGCCTCATCGGAGGAAAGGAAATTGTCTTTGCGACGCTGCAGAGGCACGCCTCATGCTTGTGCCTTTTCAATCAAAAACCTCTTCACAGCTGGCGGTCGTGCTTTTTTTTCGTCCTGGACCGTGACAGATGATTGGGAGCGAAGGGCGGTTCGGACTTCGACAGGTTCCTAGCGGCCGCTGACAGGTGGGCTGACACCTCCAGGTTCCAAGGCTGACTCTCGAGGGCATGAGATCCCGCCCTCGTCAGGGCGGTGCGCCTCGTGGTTCTTGCCTCCGTCTCTCCACTGGTACTGCATCCTGCGCACTTCGTAGATACAGTAGGTACTCCAACCGGCGCTTGACCCAGGCTCGGCTCGGGGTTCAGGTAGGAACTCCAACCAGGCTCGACACGCACGGGGCTATCTTGATTGTTTGGTACCATTCATGAGATGCCAAATTGTAAAGGATGCCCTTGCTGTGCACTTGTATGGGTGGGTGTCGTGGCCATTGAACGACTTCAAGTCGCAACGACCTGGCAGCTTACCTCATGTTACCTATCCGTCCTTCCAGGCTCCAAAGCCCCTGTGGTTGCCAATGGAAGTCGCCGAACAGGGGGTCCAGGCGGCGTAGGTGGAGGCTGTGTGACGAGTGGTAAGTAGCTGCGGCACGCGCTTCAACTTCCGAGAAGGAGCACAAGCAACGGTCCATGCTAATTATGAGGCAACACCATTCCGGCGCTGCCAGTCCGCTAGGTATGGACCTGTACCTCCACGACAGTGCCTTTACCTACTAGTACTTAGGTACCTACATAATAGGTAGCTCACTGAGGTGAATGCATCCAACGGCGCGACCTGCTGCTCGCACCCACGCCGCCGCCCACACACACCAAACCCCCAACGCTTCCACGAGGCGCCTTTCCCGGTTAGGTTCCGTCGGGTCCCTCAGTCCACGGCTCCCAACCTGGAAGTCGAACGCCGCCGCCGCCGCCGCCGCCGCCGTCTCTGGAGGCCGCTTTCTCGCCTCAACATCCGTCAGTCATTCCATATCATCACACCGACGCCGACGCCGACGCCGACACTGACGCCCATCTCCATCCGCGACCCCTTCGCGTCATCGCCCTCCACGCCGGCCGACGATTGTCCCGTGCGCAGCCTCGTAACACGATGAAGGCCAAGGCGGCCGCTCTCGCGGTGTCGTCAATCGCGCTGCTGCTGCTGTCGCCCCCGGCAGCGGCAGCGGGCATCGGGTCGTATCACGGCCATCCCTCGCCGCACAGCGAGAGTCGCCACGCCCGACTGTTTCCCCTCCTCACCAAGCTTCGCGACGGCACCGTCGAGTTCTTCTTTGGCCGCCATCCGACAAAGGCCGCCAAGCCCGCCGCCGTCGTCCCCGGCTCTGTGCGCGCCAAGTATACAGACGAGCTTGTCCTGCGCTTCAACGTCAGCACCACGGACGAGGAAGCCGCCCTCGCTGACGCCGCCGCGCGACTCTTTCTCGACGTATGGGCTTTCACGCGTGACTATGTCGACATTCGTCTGCACGCCGACGAGGTCGGCCCGTTACTGGGCCTCCTTCCCACAGCCCTTCAGTCGTCTCATTCAACCCTGATACCCGACTTGGCCTCGGCTGTGTACCGGTCACTGTCGTCGTCGGTCGATCGCGCCGCGACAGAGGCCGATGGTCTTCTCTGGGCGCCAGCGGCACCACTCCACAGCGGCGACAATCTGTTCTTCCAAGACTACCAGCCGCTGCCCGTTGTCGTCCGCTGGATGCGCCTCCTCGAGGCCATGTTCCCCTCTTACGTCAAATATACTGTCATTGGCAAATCGTTTGAAGGTCGGGAAATCCCTGCGTTGCGCGTCGGGCTACCAGCAGCGCCAGACGCCAAGGAGCCTCGAAAGACCATCGTGGTTACCGGCGGCCTGCACGCGCGGGAGTGGATCTCGACGAGCACGGTCAACTATCTGGCTTGGTCTTTCATTACTTCGTTTGGCAAGGAGCGCATGATCACCAAGCTCCTGGAACATTACGACATTGTCTTCGTGCCCGCCGTCAACCCAGATGGGGTCGAGTACACGTGGCAGGTCGATCGCCTTTGGCGCAAGTCCCGCCAGGAGACCAGCATCCGCTTCTGTCGCGGGCTGGACCTGGATCATGCTTTCGGGTACGAGTGGGACGGGTCGCAGGCCCAAAACGACCCTTGCTCCGAGAGCTATGGCGGCGAGCAGCCATTCCAAGCTGTCGAGGCCATCCAGCTGGCTACGTGGGCGCGCAACGAGACTCTCAACAATGTGCAGTTTGTCGGCCTCCTCGACCTCCACTCGTACTCGCAGCAGGTTCTCTTTCCCTACTCATTTTCGTGCGCGATTGACCCCCCAAACCTGGAGAACCTGCAAGAGGTTGCGACGGGAATCTCCAAGGCCATACGGATATCCAACGGGGAGTCGTACTCGGTCACATCGGCGTGCGAGGGAGCAGTGGCTGCGGACGAGTCGCAACGTGACAAGTTTCGGCAACGCGTCGAATCGGGCGGCGGTTCTGCCATCGACTGGTTCTACCACGAAATGCGTGCGCATTTCAGTTATCAGATCAAGCTGCGCGATACCGGTTCCTACGGATTTCTGCTTCCCAAAGAGCAAATCATCCCGACGGGCGAGGAAATGTTCAACGCGATGAAGTACTTTGGAGACTACTTGCTGGGCAACAACGGGATCGAGAGATTCGATGGTCACGAGGCGGACAGCGGAGTCCATTTCTCCACGTCAGATCGAGGGGACGACAGCATGAGCAACCACGAACTCAGAAGGCGACGCGCACGCAGATGATGAAGGGAGCAAAACCGCACTCCCGAGACAGACCCAGCGATTGGGCCAACCAAGGCATCGTGTATGAGCAAACGAAAAGCAAATGAAGATTTGACGACTGAATTACTACCAACGGAACTATTTCCAAGATACGAAAAGCGAATTTGCCGGGCAGCGCCAGACGAATGGTCTAATTGCCGCTCATAACGAACATGGCCGAGGTGTAGGCCGCGGTGAGCTTGAGCAAAGTGTCGCACAGGAACGAGCCTACAGCACCGCTGGAATCGGCATCAGTATAAAGGGGGGAAATCAACAACGGAGGGGGCAAGGAAGGGGCTGTAACGCACATTTCGCGGCCCTTGGGACCAGCAGAGCTGGTGTAGCCGAACAGGTAGAGAACTCTCGACAGGCCCCAGCCGGCTCCAAGGACGGCAGCAGGGAAAGGGTAGCGGAGGCCGGCGACGAGCAGGGCGCCGAGGAAGGAGGTCTGGTTCTCGGTAAAGTTGGCATGGGCGCGCTGAGCTGCATTCGAGCGGCGTTAGCACGGGCAGGACGAAGGGGAGAAAGGGGACGGGCTGGCGTGTACCGCAGTTGAAGCGATAGGCGTTGGGGTCCTTGTCGGCCTGCTCGGCGGAGGCGTAGGCGTTGGGATACTTGACGCCGCTGGCCTTGCGGAACTTGCTGGTGCGGGTGACGTGGATGGTGTTGATGAAGAAGGTGGCGGTCGCGGCGGCGAGAACGAGACTGTCGGGGTCAGCGGGTTCTCATGGCATGAACGGGTAGAGGAAACGGCGAAGCCAAAGCGAAGAGGAGAGCGTCGCGTTGCGACAGACGGGTGGGCACTTTTGCGCCGTGCTTTGCGCCACCGGGTGCTTTGCGCAAGACGAACGACACAGCACCGGGTACCAGCGAATAGGTAGCTGATTGCGTCGCGACAGCGCAAAAGGTAGAATAATGACAAGGTGACACGTGGATACTGCAGCACTTACCCGTACTGGTCCGGGAGCTCGAGGATGAAAGGCATGGCTGCGATTTGACACGCGGGCAGGGCGGAGACGGGTCGGAGGCGGGTCGTCGCGACGGGGAGTCGGAGGCGAGCTGGCGATGCAACAAGGCTTTGCTTGCTTTGGGCTTGTGTATCCGTGGATGGCGAGCGACGATGGATGGAGAGACTTGGGGAGTAGTTGAAGAAGAAGTCGAGGCGCGCGGGAGCACTTGGTAGTTGTACAAATATGTACGCAAGGTACTGTACGCAAGGTACTGTACGGCAAGTGGGCAACAAACGTTTTGGGGG